AGAATATAAGTACAAAGACTGCTTAGATATTGGTGTATTACTTCATAATACTGCTATTATATCCTTATCAATCCACTTTACTTTGGGTAAACTGCAGATTAAACTGCTGCAGAAACCCATGTAAGCCTGTTGTCATCTGTGATGTAAGAGCCCGTGTTGACACTTTTTGTTTTAAACAGCAGATGTTCAGATGTGTTCAGTCTGTTAACGCCCTCAATGCGGAACACAATCCTGCTGCAAATTAGGAGGAATTCCTCCCTCTGTGGATTTCTTTCTTCAAAGTGGTTTAAACAAAAGGGTAAACAAATTTCCCTCTCAAGGATATTGGAACATTTTCATGATTTGCATAAATAAAGACAAACTAAATCATGTGGAAAACTGATTCAGAGTCAGACTTTGTTTACATGTACCTTCCCTAAACCCCATATGGATTCAAATTAATTAATTGACAACCAGATTATATGTAATTTTATTTGTCACAAAAAGTGTTACAGTTTTCCCTTCTTTCAGATGTGAAATAATTTGAATCGGCCTTAACCTCAGACCCTCTCTCTCTGTGGTCCATCATCAAGTCCATTCGGGTTAATGTAGTGTGATAAAAGTCCAGACCATCTGTCTTCATTGTTAGTCCACTGCCCTAATCACAAGTTAATGTCTCACCTGAATGGAGAGTGGTGAACATGTAGTCGATCTGTTTGACCCAGAAGTTCTGGACAGACCAGAGGACGTATCTGTTGCCACTGGATCAGCTGATTCTCATCCCGGCTGACATAACACACCATCGGAAGCTTCACGGTGGTTCAGTTTACTGAAGTCATGTCTCCTTCTGGATCTGTCATTACCTCCTAGACTCACTAACCATCTGCTCGGTAACCTTGTAACCTCCTGTTACTAATGCTGATTTACATCACGTTTGATATACCGTATATACAGTATATATATATGAATTTATTTGTATATGTACAGTGCATATACTGTCACAGCTTGCTTAGCATAAAAAAACCTCCAACGCTAATTTGCGCGGTTGCTTGGCCGTACCAGCTGTTTCCAGATGTCAGAGGAGCTCTTGTTTGTGGAGTTGCACCTGTTCAGCTCCATCTCTTTTCAACTCATCTCTGTCTTTTTTTGTCTTGGCGCTTCTCCTCCTGCCTCCAGGAGAGAGGCTTGTCTGGTGCAGCAGATAATGTATTCCTGTTTATTCCCCCTACTATGTGCCCTGTGCTGTGAGGATGTGAGGGCAGGAGAAAATAGCGGGAGAGGAAAGGGGCACTAGCTGCTGTCCTTTCATGTAACTGCAGACGATAGATGCAAATGGATAATAGCCCCAGTCTGCAGAGCCTCAGACGCACACAAAATACACATTTGTTCCTCAGCGTTGCTGTTACAAGCTGAGTGTTCCATCCTCTGGGCCTCCAAAAGCATTTAGTTAAAACTAAATATTAAATACTCAAAATACCTCAACCTGTGTGTCTCTGTGGAGACTCTCAAGTGTCTCAAGTACTAATCTTATTTTACCTTTAGGATAAACGCTTATTCAAACATGTAATGATTTGGATTTCATTTGATCTGATCTTCATGTGATCAAAGAACATTTACTCTGCAGTGTCATAAAATTGAATATATTAGTAAAGTTTACTTGCTTAGTGTGACATGACAAATATTAAGAAATGTTGCATTGATTACACCAAACTACGTAAGATAGCAAAAGTTACTGCAATACCCCAGAAAAGTGTTGGTAAATGAATAACCAAAAATGTTGGTTGTTTTCTTGATCTTTTCACAGCATTATACAGTAAATCTATTCAATTAAACGGTCTGCAAAGTTTAGGAAACCACACAGATGACATTTCCATTTTTTGTTTGTTGACATTTTTATACGCACAAACCCAGAGACATGTAGTTCGCTGTAATATTGTCTAACCCTCAACTGCCGATAATGTTCAGAAACTAAGAACATTATGGTCACAAAAATTAATTCTGTAGCATTTAAAATCACTGTCAATCAAACCATAAGTAAAATGGGTATTCTTAATCTTTTTTTTCTGTTTGCATTTATGAAAATATGACAAATGTGTGCATAAATGCAGAGCCTACTGTAGTTTTCTCTTCAGCCATCACATACTTACATCTCCCACCACCCAGATGTCTTTTGTCAGCCTCACAGCTGATCTGATACTGAAGCGACTGCCTGCGTATTTGTGTGTGTCCTTATCTACGCGTCTTCTTCTGTGTGTGTGTGTGTCTACGTGTGTGTGCTTTAATGTCTGTCTTCAGTTCTGTCTGTCCTCCCCAGGGAACATGTCAGTCCGATGAGGTATTTGACGGAGAATAGTCAGGAAAAGATTCTCTGAAACTCTGAAAACCAAAAATAACTAGAATAGCAGAGATACTGTGAGTAATTACAGCCTGATTTTGAAAGAAGAGAATATTCATCATCATCAGATCAGAGTTTAATATTATAAAAAAATAAGAAATAACACAAAAAACTCTAAAGGGAGAAAAGAGCAGCGCTGAGTCTCTGCTTCAGGGTACAGCTCTGTAGTTATTGCCAAGAACAAAACTTTCTTTTTAGAAACAGTAGGTGAGTAGAGAAAACTGGTAAAAAAGGCCCTGTGGGTATCATCTCAATCCATGTAAAGTTAGGTCTGACTTTTAAACTTTAAAAAAAGCAAAACATAGAATTCATGAAAATTCGACTGCACAGCCAATCAGGGTCAAAAATCAGTCAAGGCTGTAGGGAGAACACTCTGGAATCTCTAAAAATAATTCCCTAAAAATCCAATGGTCAATTTGCAGTAAAAAAAAAAAAAAAGAAATATCTTTAGAAACATTCAATGATGCTAATTGTCCCCAGGTAGCTGAACTAGCTGTCCAAGACATTCTGATTTTGGTTAGAAGATCAAGTGGTAGGATTTGATTAAAACTGTCCTGGAAATGATCCAGAGTGCCCTAAAGACAGAGTTCAGAGGGGTAAACTAAACCAAGCTGGTAACTTCCTCCTTGAATGCTTTTTCTTTTGGCTTTTTGTGAAAAGCAGAAGACAAGGTCAAAACCTATTGATGATGTGCAAATCTGAGAACATTAAAAAAAGAGTCTTATGGTCGAGCTGTTAAAGCAGCAGAGGCTGCTGAATCCAGATCACGTACTAAACAGTTTAGCATATTGACTCTGCCACCACATTTATCTGCATCCTGCCAATCTGTCTTTTTACAGCCCATTGTTTGTTTCCCTCAGTGCTCGCCCCGTGCTCACACCAACATATTCTACATCTACAACTACTGCAGATTTCAGGCAACCCTTTTTTAATATAAGTTGAAAAAAAAAATTTTATCAGTATTTTTTAATCAATCACTGGACATCAACCCCATTTGAACTCCATATGACCCCAGTTGGAGTTGGGACCCTGAGGTTGACTCTCCCATATGGTTTGGTTTTCTGTCAGGCAATTAATGCAGGAGGACTGCAACCTTTTTTTTATAATCTACTAATATTATTATCTTCACATTTCTCATGTACTCATGTGATGCATGTGACATGTCAACATCCAAATGTTAAATCTTGATAAATCGCTTGGCTATTATTTGTTTTCCAAAATGTCAGAACATGACAAAAGACCAAATGACCCTTACACACATTTCAAGATGTTGCTTTTATTTTGAAATCCAAATGTATACATGTTCCAAAGAATGCATGTTTAGTGTGCAACTGATCTAACAGCAAAACTAATAAAAATGATTGAACTCATTCTGAATCTGCTGCTGAACAGAGTTTACTCTTTGTGGAGAACAGTTTAAGTTGATGTGCAGTCAAAAGTTCTCAGCTTGTGTGGCAATTCTAACTCCAATGGTCGTGCCTCTAAACGTTGAAGAGAAATAAAGTTTGGAGTGAGTCTTGTTAACAGAACTGCAGCTGCGCCTCGTCTTGGTTGAAATCCTCCTCTTCCTCTAACACATCACTCAGCCACGGTCTTGGCTGCAGTCTCTCAGCAGCTGTACTCTGTCAAGTCTGTATTCAGATGTTGAACGTCTCTGTCAGCGTTGTTTTCATCCATTGTGTTGGCGTTGCTCTCCTGGCTGAGGTCTTCAGCCAGTGAAAATGTGGAAGGGAAAAACACTTCTCTGCACTTGGACAAAAATCCCAAATCTGTCCTGATTTGTTTGTTCTTTTTGGGTGGAATGCACACCATGTTTTCATCAGCAGTGTTCCAGACCTGATTCTGTTTCTTTTCCAGTATTTTATCTCTCGTTTGGTTGACACTCAACCACGCCTACAGATGTGGCTTTTATTTAGCCTTATTTCTCTTGGTACAGATTGACTATCCGAGGGTGTGTTCCAGGTGAAATGGCACCACTATGACTGGTGGGATATCTATTGATTATTTCATGAGAGCAGAGTCATTCTCCTAATGGATGTCCATGGGTGTTTTTTAACCCTTACTATCAGCAAGGGTACTACACCTTTCCTCAGCAGAGAGCCTTTATATTCATAGTTAAACCATGTGAGGAGAACAGAAAGACCACATCGTTAACATTTACAGCCGTAGCACTGGGCAAAATGAAGAAGCTGCTAGTGCATCGTAAAGGAACAATAGATCGGATTTAGGATGAAAAAGAATAGAAGACAAAGATCAGAAGAGGAAAATTATAGAAGTGTATGTGGGTATATATATATATATATATATATGCACATATACATTTACTGTACATTTTCCCTACTACAACAAAGGCGTCACTGGTAGCTGGTTTTATAACTGGCACTTTGTCTGTATGTGGGCACAGACAGCTTCTTTTTCAGTTTACTCAACAAGCAACCACGCTGCAGCCACATGTGATGTGGTTATAAAGATAAAAAGCTAATTGTGAGGCCACATGAATTAAATATGGAGCTGCTGGTCTGGACATTGTGGCAACACAGATAAAAAAAACAATTACAACATGTTGATAGAAAAGAAAAATCATGTCATCTGAACGTCCTCTTCTCTGTTTCTTCTCTTTTTACAGGAGCTTTACAAATTGAAAATAGCGAGGAAACCGACCAGGGGAAGTACGAGTGCGTGGCCACCAACTCCCAAGGTGTCCGCTACTCCTCCCCCGCGAACCTCTACGTGCGAGGTAGGACCCCAAACCCAGAACACATGGGAACACACACTCACAAAAGAGCGAACTCACTGATTCACTGTTACGGTGCTCTTAAAATACATGAATAACTTGTCATAACTGTCTTTTTAAACAACTTTTACTAACCCATTCATTGTCTACAGTTAATGCTAACACCGTTGTTTGGTATTTTCTCACAACCACCTTTAACAAATCCACCTTAAACCCCTGTGCGGGCTCCTACTGTGGAATCAAAGTGATCGTAAAGTTGAGAAAGCACCTCGGTTTAAGTGCGTGGAAACACCACTGACGTGTGGGACTGAAACATTCCCTGCACTGAAGGCGGATTAAATGGTTTTACTAAAGAGTTAACTCATGATATAAATACAGATTATTAAAATGATCAGACACGGGATGTCATTTAATTTTAAATCATTTTAATTAACGTGGTCAGTGCTCCCACACGACCTCTGTTTAATTGACTGTAGCCTCTGGTCTGTGGGTGGATTATTAGAGATCATATCTGAAAGACCACGTCTAATGTTCAGTCATAGTTTCTTTGTGGGAAATCAGAGAAGTTTGTTGTGTGAGGGTTGGTGTGGACGTTGTGTGTGTGTGTGTTTATGTGTGTTTCAGTGGAGCGAGTGGCTTTGCGCTGGCCGTTTTTATTCTCTCTGTGTTTCCCCGTTCTCTCTCTCCCCCCTCACGTCATTGTGTTCTGCATCAACCCCCCTCCATTCCTCAGAGCTTCGAGAAGGTTGGTGTGCTCTTTCTTTTCTTTTGTTACTCCTTTGTTTCTGAAATCTTCACTTATTGAAGCAGAGATAAACAAAGAAAAAAATAATAATTTCAAAGGATATTTTAAATGACTCTGGAGTAGATTTGAAAAGAAATGGTTTTTGTCTCCAAAATGACGAGATGATTTCTCTAAAACTGCTGTGATGTTCAAGTGGTGTGCCTACGCAGCAGAGTGCATTTACTGCATTGTGAGGCCTTGTGTGCAGAGTCCTTGGTATTGCCTTCACTCCCCGATCACTGTTTCTGCATGGTATGATCTTGTTGTCATGGAGACCCAAGAACTGGAAGATATAAAAGAGGCAATGTTTGCATGGAAGGAGTTAAAGAGAGGTAGAAAGCCGCACCGCTTTGCATGCGCGTTGACTGACGGACTGACACAGGTGCATGGCACAGTGTGTGTTTATGCTCATTGATCTGCCTGGGTTGTGATATTATTGAACCTGCTGCCTTGTTAAGTCATGCTCCTCCTTCTGTTTGCTCTTTTATCATCACATGTAATGTTTTCTTTAGGCTTTTCATGTCATCCGCTCAAAATATGCAGTTTTGAACCGAGTGCTGCACTCGCTGTCAAATATGCACACGTCAGTCTGACGAGGCAGGATATGTACTGTGCAGGTTTTGTTGTTGGCTGAATTCATGACAAAAACTGATGATGGCAAAAGATCAAAGCATCCCATCAGGAGTTTCATACTTCAGTACAAATTTCACATACTTGTACTCTGGCTGTGATGAGGATCATTACATATAATAAATGAAATACAGCGTGAAACCAGCAATTAGCATACAGAACTCCTGACAAAACTGAAAGAAATGTCTGTATTTGATGTTGAAACTTGTCTGATGGGTGCTTTTGGTGGCTTTTATATTCAAAATAGTCAACAAGGCTTCCATAAAACACACAGTTCATGTTTGTGACATAAGGCATGTGAGTTGTTTGTGTATTACATGCCTGGTAAACGTGGAGGTTGTACAACAACAGGTTAGATAAGAGTTAGCTGAGTGCTATCTAAATTGTTACTAAGAGTAGAACAATAGCAAAATAGCTATAAAAATGTAGAATGATTTAATAATAATTAGATTTACTTATCCTTGTACATATACAGACACAAACACACTAACACATTCATTCACACAAAATGAAAATTGTCTTTTGTATACTATGTAACTCATCCCTGGGAACCAAATGTAAAAGTTAAATGTAAAAGTAGGCAGAAAATGACTATAAATAAGAGATTTCTTTAAACTATAAATAAAGATACTATAAATATAGATAAAACAAATATGAATGTAATAACACAGAGGTCAGCAAAGGTCTGGGCATTAAGGGGGAGTTATTGTATGAAACTTAAGCTAACATAGTATTGCTAAGAATTTGCCAGAAATTAAATGTTAACCTGATATACAGTGCAGTTCTGTGTAATGGTTGTTGTTTTCTTCAACCTTTTTTTTCTCCGTCTAAAGTATCTAAACCATATGTAGAGAATTAGAAGTTCATTCTCCAGATCAATAACCTGGAGAAGGCACGGCTGAAAATATCTGGCTCATGGGTGTGGCCGCACGGCTGCTGACAGCCATGCTCCGTCCTCTAGAGTAGAGCTGCTGCTCCAACGGTTCAGCCAGGAATCCAAAGATACGTACAAAATCGTCTTTGTCACAGGAGCATTAGTGATACAGTAACTCATTTCCTCCACACTGTCTGCAGAAGTGAAATACTTTCACATATTGAATAGTGCATCAATAATCCAACAGTACTGTATAATTTACAACACAGGGCACACACTGCTGCATAGACTTCTCTTCTGATACTAAGGATGTAATAGGTGAACTTTTCATGTAAGATTTGACACAATCCTTTATAAAGTAACCATAAACCTGTAGGAATATGAACCAATGCATACTGTGTTTTTAATACTTTGATAGCAGCTAGCTTTATTCTGTAGAAAAGTCCATCTGTCCTTCTGTTTGATTATATACTGTTCAGTAATTCAATCAGTGTAGGATTTCAGCTGGTTATGGGGGTTTTCTTTAAAAAGACTGCAGGAGCAGGGCCATTTTAAGTGAGAATGTGGCCAACTGTCTGCCGGCCTGTTTGACTGCCTTGATTGATCAAATTACATCAGTGGTCACACAATACTGTGAGGCTGACTCATGCGTTTGCCTCAGTGGTCAGCCTGCAGAGTCATGGAGATTCCCCTGTCACTGTTGATCCTTTAAAGCCAAATTGGCACAAATAATGGTGTTTTGACTCCGAGTGAGATTGTGCTTTTAGAATCTGATCTAGAGACTTCTAAGACAGACCTTGACAACCAGGCTGTAACAGCCATCTCTCAGCATTTGCTTTGTTCACTGAGTGACAGAACAGCAGTAAGCGGCCATGGGGGTGGGAAGCCTGATCGATACCAATCAGGAGGAGGAGAAGGAGGAAGGGAGGGAGGGAGGAAGGTGGGAGACGATGGAATGGCAACGGGAGGGGGGGGAGGGTGCGGGGGGGGGGGGGGGGGGATTTGTTAGCGCTGCGTGACAGCAAGGAAAAAAAAGTGAAACATTTTCTGGTGCTTCTAATTTTCTCCGAGAGCAATCCTTTAAAAGGGAATAAAGACGAACTATGCAGCAGAAACGTTGCGTTCTGATGCAGATTACAGTTTTTATCAAAATGAAACATTTGCAAAAATCAAATTGTATTATTAACAAAGCTGAACAGCTTTTACAATCCAATCAATATAACCCCCAAATACTGGGGCAACATCAATAGCTAGAATTCAGCCCCATACCATAACAGAGCCTCCAGTGTTTAATTAAAAATTCCAAACTAATGGTTTAGGATTTTTTTCCCAACCACGAAAGTATGACTTATCCTTTTGTCTTGCCCCTCTCAAGAAAATTATGAAATAAAACAGATTTAAACACTTTGGTTCTGCCATTTACTTATAAATCTCAGTCTTGTTTCTGTCTTGCAGATATTTGTTTTCCCGGGTAATAGACTTTGTTGGCAATTTAAAATCTTCAGTAGCTCATCAGACAAAAGCCACTATTAGGATATTGCCTATAAGTAATGTGTTGCAATTTATCATTTGAATATTTTCAGGGTGAAAAATAAAAATAAACCAAGGAAGTCTCCAGACAAATGCAGGTCAGAGTCAGTAAAGAAAACCACATCCAGTGTCTAGTCAAACCTTACCCCAGCTGTTTCTATCTCCCTCAAACACACTCCTATGCCTCTTGTTGATTGACATTCAAAATTAATCTCACCCTTCCACTTTCTCGATATCTGGGGGATATTAATGATTCCTTCTTATTACTGTGGTTTATGAAAGCGCTGTCCTTGAGTCAGGCGCCGCGTCGCTGCGTAAATGTCAGCTCGGCAATGGCGGGCATGAGCTGTGGTTATATAGCTGTGCAGAGGTGCCGTATCGCTAATCCTTATTCTCTGCCAAGGTTTTCTAAGTCAGTAGCTTCCAGACTCCCTGCAGAGGGCAGGACTAATGATAGCTCCACTAATAAAGACTGAAGCTCTCAGCCGTGGAAGATGTATAGAAAACAGGGAGAAATCATGCAGGTCTGCTCCATTAGGTTTAAGCTGGAGGTTCCTGGAGCATGTGAGGGATTATCCGTTTTCGTGAAGTCACTTTATTGTCCCCTACTATGGCGGACGCCTCAGCCTTTTGTCTCCACTCCTTGCAGTTGCCGATACACGTTTTCCTCCCGAATACCACTCATGTTTCAGGTCACATCACCATCATCCTCAGGCTATTATCTACATCCTGTTGTTGCTCATGTTACCAAACTAATCCATACGCCTAATTAACATGTCTTTTTTTGGTCTGTTGTGTTGTATGGATAAGTACAGTCACTCAGAGACTTAGTGAATTGAGCTTTTTGTCATGCTGCATCTGCACCTGCACCTGCACCGCCCCTCTGTCTGTCTTCTGCATGTCTCTCTGTCTCCTGCATGTTCAGATGAGGACGTGCTGCATAACCATGTCTGTTTCTAACAGATCTACCTGTTTTTGTCTCTGTGTCTTTCTTGTCTTCGACCACTGTATCCGATTTCTGGGTATCTTCCAGTCGTGTACTTAAGATGCTTTTCAACAGGGAAACGATTCTTTTTCAATTTGTTGAAATTATTGCCAAAACGTGTTAACTTCTATCCAACTGTCTCTAGATTCTTTGAGTAAAAGGATGTGGCCCATGAAGATTCCAAGTAATGATGTTACTCATTAAGGAGTGGAGGTTATGCAGTAAACAAAAATTCCTTTTTGCTTTGAATTACATATTAGAAGTGCTGCTGTGCTGAATGTGCAAATCTTGTAAAAGTAAGCCTTGCACTTTTATTTTTATAGCTTATAACTTTTTGTTTAATTAAAAAAACAACATTTGTTGTATGTCATTCAAACAGCTTCCTCCCAGTGTTGAGTTTAGTTGAGTTTTCAACGGTGTTTCTCTTCTTTCTGTCTGTCTTCCCTTGCCATCGTCTCCTTTCATCCAAAGACGTTTGTGCTTTTCTCTTTCTGTCTATTTCTGTTTCCTGTGTTGTGACTCTGGGGTTTCCTCTTCTTTTCTCCTTCAACACACAATCTTTAGCCTTTTCGTTGTTTTTTTTTTCTTTATATTTTATGTTCCTACTTTTAAGTGCCTTCTTTCTGAATGGGCCTGAGTCTGGTATACAGTCATGTTTTTAAATAGATCCATGTGTTTTCTTCTTCCTCGCTCCTCTTTTCTACCCCCCTTTTGCCCTCCTGCCCCTGGAACCTTCTTCTAATCTTCTCTTTATCTCCTCGCCCCCTGTCTCATCCCCCCTCCTGTCCCTTCCCTTTTTTTTCTTCTCTTCTTCTGCATTCTGTCTGCACCCTGATGTGTAGGAGCGACAGACACATGTACATAAGTTTATTAACTTATAAACATGCACATACTGCCTCACATTCCTCCCCCCTTTTGCTCGCACTCGTTCTCTCTCTCGTTCTGCCTCTCCCATGCTGTCTTGGTGTCCTTTACTGTGTTCCAATGATCACTCTGTTAATTACCACAACACCTTAGTAGAACCACTCCTGTCCACATCCCCTACCCATTTGACAACACACTGTTATTATCAGTTATGAATCCTATGTATTGTACAGTATCTTGTTGTACAATGTGGCTGTCCTTTGCTACATTGCCTGTCATTGTCTGGAAGAGAAGCAGAGCTGCCTCTGTCTCGTTCTCTCTCTCTGTCTGTCTTTCTGCCTCTCTCTCGCTCTTCCTGTCACTCCCTCTCTCTCTTTCCTTCTTATATCTGTCTCTCCAGTGTCTCCACTCTCTGTCTCCTACTCAGTCCTCGGTTCTTCTTTCTCTTCTTTGTGTTTTTTTTTTCTACCATTTTATACCTCTTGAGTCGCCCAGGCATGCAGTGACCTATGAGTTCAGTTTCTCTCTATACTGTAGAGTCATTCTGCTACACATGCAGAATTGGATGTTATTTCCTCTCATGGAGACACAAAAAGCAGACTGGGCCTATTGATTGGTCCAACGATGTGCAAAGGTACTTTCTTTTCTTGGCAAAAAAAAAAAACAAACAAACCAATCTCTAACCACTGCAGAGGCACATCAAATAACAGAAATAAAGTTTGTCACCAAAGTTTTTTTTTTTAAAGTTAAGGTTATTGATTGGACTTTGAAATATGATGATAACACTGACAAAATGATGGACAAAAACAAACTACAAAATATTACATTTCTACTGCAACTGTGATAAATGAAAAAAAGTAATTAAAAAGCAGAGAAACTGACTATAGGGGTCATGACCTGGTTGAAATGTTACTCAAGAGTTTGTCACGTTATTATTTTGAGTAGGCAGCTCACTCTGATTGGTTGAGCTCAACACAAGATTTGTGTTTTTTGTTGAACTCATCAGTACCATAAGTAATTGGGACTAAACTTGAAATATCCCTTTGTAATTTTTCTGTAAAAACCCTGAAGTTCATTCTCCCCCCTCCCTGTTACTTCTCTCTTTTTCTCTCTCCTCCTACTCCTACTCTCTCTTTTTTTCTCTTAATCCCTCTCTACTCTCTCTCTCTGGTTTTCTCCTCCTCACTCCCTCCTCCTGCTTTTTCTCCGTCACCACCTTACCCCTTTACCCCCAACCCCATCCCCTGATCTTCCTCTCCTTCTCCACCCCGACTCTCTTCCTTCTTCCCAGTGCGCCGTGTTCCCCCTCGTTTCTCCATCTTACCCTCCAACCATGAGATCATGCCTGGGGGGAGCGTCAACATCACCTGCGTGGCCGTGGGCTCACCCATGCCCTACGTCAAATGGATGCTTGGCAGCGAGGACCTGACGCCGGAGGACGAGATGCCGATCGGGCGTAACGTGCTGGAGCTCAACAGTGTGCGGGAGTCTGCCAACTACACCTGTGTGGCCATGAGTAGTCTGGGAATTGTGGAGGCCACGGCTCAGGTCTTAGTGAAGAGTAAGAGACACACTGATCATAAGATGGACCAGATCTATCTATCTATCTATCTCCTGATCTAGACTAGAGTGAGAGCTACAGACCTTGGTTCTCAAGCCATTAAAAGTGTAATAGAAAGAAAAAATGATTCGACACAGTGCTTGATTCAATGTCTAAATTGGTTTGGAGTCAGCGAAACATTTTTTTTATCATCATTTTCCCTGGTTAATCCAGGCTCATGTTATTATTTAACATCCAGACAGTTAGTTAGTTATATATTCATACATTTATAGATGCCATGGCAACAAATGTTTTAAAAGAGAATTTGAACTGGAATACAATTACATTTTGTCAGACAATGAATTCAATCATCGTTCTGGCCTCTTGGTATTTACTGAATATTAAAGCAATGAAATGCATTTCATCAAATTCCATTTCTTAATTCTTGTCATATGTGTCGTTAAAGAACAATCTTCTCATGATTGTTTACATTTTTAAAAAAAGTGAATCTCTCTTTATCCAAGCTCTGCCCAAGCCTCCTGGTACACCCATAGTCACGGAGACAACGGCCACAAGTGTCACCATCACCTGGGACTCGGGCAACCCCGACCCTGTCTCCTACTACATCATCCAGTACAGAGCCAAAGGACCAGACAGCAAATATGAGACAGTGGACAGCATCACCACCACGCGCTACAGCATCGGAGGGCTGTATCCCAACACTGAGTATGAAATCAGAGTGTCAGCCTTCAACAGCATTGGCCAGGGGCCTCCCTCTGCTCGAGTGGAAGCTCGAACAGGAGAGCAGGCGCCGGCCAGTCCTCCTCGCAATGTCCAGGCTCACATCATCTCTCAGAACACTGTCATGGTCCGATGGGAGGAGCCAGAGGAACCCAACGGACAGGTGGGACCTGCAGCGATAAAGTTATACCTTAGAAATTAAAAGACTTCATTTTTGTCTCCTGCAGCCATGCTCTGTTAAGGCAGCTGTATGTGTGCTTTATCTGTCATTTCCTTCTAAATGGGATCTGATCATACAAAATAACACTAGGTGCAAAAAAAAAAAATACATAAAGGTATTGTTGTTTCAGACCAAAACATAATCAGGGAAATTTTATTAACATTGCAGTTTGGATGAGAAGTTGCCTAATTTTCTTATTGTTTGCTCATACAAAGAAACCAAAGAGTTTTTTGTCTGTTTTTACCTTGAAACCAGTGCCAAAAAAAAAAAATTCCAAATTTACAATAAAAGTAGCCACAAACTTGTAGAACTTATAAAAAATTAATTTCGACAGCCTTAAAAAAGAGTTTCACTAATTTACCTGGTCAGCAGAGAAGTTTCTGTCTTCCTGTGGGCACCTGTCAGGGATTTCTGCTGGTATATTTTTAGCAAAACACATTTACACTGTTCATCCCAGAATGACTTCAACGTCACAACGTTTGGTCGTGCTCTGTTAAACACGCTGCCTAATCATGGTACATACAGTACTGCATAAGTGTAGCCAAAAATTAAATTTGCCCTCACTTACTGTGAGGGCTGCTAACGTTCAGGACCCACTGGGGGTTACAACGATAAAGCCTTAATAAAATCCACCACCGGGAGCTATATTCTAGTTTACAGGTTCACGTCCTTTACAGGGAATGTGTCTTGTCAGAGCTTTCCATCCTGTAACTCCCTGGCTCCGTTTCCCCTCTTGCTAAAGAAGGAAATGGTAATTGGATTGTCTGTTCTAAGTTAAGAGCACTGCCTCCTGAGGCCCATTTCTTTTTTCTCTCCTACCTTACTCTGCAGTAGGTTCATAAAAGCTCCAGACTGATTTGAGAGCATACGGGGATTACAGATATTAAAGAATAATAACCGGAGCGGTGGCAGAGGTGGAGTGTAAGGGCACTGACATGGCAGTGGGATTACACACACACACACACACACACACACACACACTGGACTTTCCATAAAAGAAAAGCTCTGCAGGAGCGGCTGGAGTGATTATATCTGACACACCACAATCTGAGGATGTTTATCTTATATTAAAACAGTTTTTCATCCACTCCTTCGTTTATCAAGGTCATATACGTTGTAGCAGCGGAGGGGAAAGAACAGCCTGTTGTGGCGGTGACCTCCAACACACACTGACCCATCACATCCACACAGCACCGTCTGGATTAAAAACAATTCACTGATTGAGACGTGACCTTGGACGCCAGCAAATCTAAACATTTGTTAGAATGTGAAATCATTTTCCATTCTAAAAATGTAACCTCTTTGGGAATACTAAATATAGTTGATTAACTGATTAAATTTTGATTACTAATTTAACCTCAGTGTCAGAAAGTTCTGATCTACTGTTTATATCATGTTTAAACATTTTTACATAATGCATTTAAATGTATATTTTAATTTCTTGATTAATTAATTAGTTCTTAAATTAAATGTCTTTGAAAACGCACTGATTTAGTTTATTTTAAATTAATCAAGAAAATTAGTAATTTTATTTATTATAAATATATATTAATATATTTAAAATATGAAAGGTTGAAATGACCAATATGTTTTTGTTTGAATGTTAATGTTGGGATTATTATTATTATTATTATTACTGTTATTATTATTATTATGAAGGTTTAAAATGCTTGTATGGACAGTGATAAAAAAAGAAAGAAACAAAGATGACTCGATGCCCCTCAGTCAGATACACAGATACAGCTCTCCTTCCCTGACTCGTCTTCTCTAACATCTGTCTATTTCCTTCTCTTGTTATTAGGTGAAAGGCTATCGTGTGTACTATACCATGGATCCATCCCGGTCTATAAACGAGTGGCAGATTCATAATGTCCAGGACAGTGTCATCACCACCATTCAGAACCTCAGAACCTCTGAGACTTACACTATCCAGGTCCTGGCCTTCACTTCTGTAGGAGATGGTCCGTTCTCTGATCCTGTCCATGTCAAGGTCATGCCTGGAGGTCAGTTTGTGTGTGTAAAAAGGATTGCTAGTTCATAATAATATGAACTGAAATGTTCTGCCCAGTGAAGCAGGAAGTCATT